ACTTAGTTACATTCCTACCAACCATGTACAATTTCTCTATACTGTCTTCAATGCTTTTTAGCTTACATCATTTAATAGCCATTCTAACTTCATAGCACTTTAATGCTGCAATGAACATCGGAGTGTAGCTGTCTCTTTGGACATATACCCAGTTCCATTTCCCATAAAGGCTATACTACTTTACATTCCTACCAACCACGTGCAAGGAATCTGTTTTCTTCGCATCCTCTCCAACACTTTCATCTTTTTGATAAGTCATTCTAACTTCATAGAACTTTCAATATCCATTTGTTCGGTATTGATTTTTTAATAAAAATCTCTCCTAGCATAGGTGTTCCATGAAACAAGAACTTTGTCTTCCTTGTTCAGTATGGCATTCCTAGTAGTACTTAGAGAAATACTGACACATAATAGGTGCTCAATAATGTTGTATAGAATAGTTGTTGGCTGAATAAAATGCGCACCATAATATCCCAAGTTAATGCCAAACATCTATGACTGTCCCTGAGACTCATCAAGATAATAGAGAGCTGAGGCTTGGCTCTGATCATTGTGAGGCTGGCAGAAAATTTTAATCATTTCATTGATCTGTTTTGTCACTTTGCAATCAGTTGAGTCCCTGAAGAACCAATGGGAGAAGGACGAAAACCCAGGATCCCCAAAACATTTCATATTTGAAGTGTCATTTCTCTGTGAGCTCCCAGAGAACCTAAATGTTTGGAGAATAAAGCTTGTACCTTCCTCTTGATCATCTGGGCCATGTCATCCCCCACTAGGTCTTTCCTTCATCACCTGCATTTAAAGCTCCTTAAAAGCAGGAATATTTCCAATTTTTATATCTCCAGGACAGTAGCAGACACATAAGCCATCAATGTGGGTTCGTTGACTTATTGTCCAAAATCAAGTTTCATGTCTGCCAAGACTACATTTGATTAGAATCCAGTCTGCTGTTTTGACAGCCTTCCCCCAGTACCTAACATCACGATCTTCTTTTAAATGCCAACAGAGAGAAATCCATCCTGGTCTTTGCCTTTGCAAATTCCATCGTGTAGAAATCTACTGATGACTTACCAGGTGCCAGGCACTTTACTAAAAATTGTATATGTGCGCTCTCATGTCAACCTTCCCCATTTTTGAAAATGGGAACAAGAGGCTAAGAGCTGTTTCTTAACTTACCTAAGATCATGCCAACAGTATTTAGAGTGAACTTTATCACCCAAATGGAATTTGATGAGATGCCGTGTGGGCAATAGAGAGAAAAGACACACACCCTGTGTATGTCCCAGAGTATCAGGAAAGAATCATGAAAACATTGGCTTTGAACTAGGGCTCAGTGTCCCCAGAAAATGCCCAATGTCCCTTGTCTTACAGGTTTTACACATGCTCTTTCCTCTTCCTGGTGTATTCCTCTGTTCAAGCCTACTTTATCCTTCTAAACTCTAAATCCTTGACTAATTCTTAATAGTGAATCCCTCCCCTGCCAAAAGAGCCTCTGTCTTTTTTTAATGTCTGCATATGTCCCATTGAATTTTAATCGATTTTAATGTCTTCCCATCCTCCAATCCAGACTGTGACCTCCTTGAGAAAGGGGGCATGATCCTTCTACTCTATGCCTTAAAATCTAGCATAATCTTTCACATAAAATAGATGCTCAATAAGTGACACATTTGATAAGATAAATACTATTTATTGAGGGCTTAGCAGAGACCAAGCAAAATGATAAATGTTTTGCATGTATCATTTAATTTAATTTTCACTGCTTCCCTACTTTACAGATAAAGAACTAATGTTCAAAAAATAGTTTTTCCTAAATAAATACCAAGAAGCAAATATTTTATCAGGGCTATCCAATATTTTGGCTGGGCCACACTGGAAGTTGTCTTAGGCCACACATAAAATACACACTAATGACAGCTGATAAAGTAAAAAAAAAAAAAAAATCACAAACATTTCATGAGGTTTTTAAAAAGTTTAAAAATTTGCATTGGTCTGCAAGTTACTTGTTTTACGTGGAAGGAAGGGGCCAAGAGAAAAAAATAAAATTAGTATAACATTCTAAAATATGTTTCTATGCCAAAAACAAGACTATGCTCAAAGACCTTTCCACCTACCCCTCTACCCACACTCAGGATAGATCTTCTCTGCTATCTTACCCTTTCCCCTCCCATCAGGGCCTATATTTCCAGCTTTCGGTTTGCTGTCTCTTTCCAGCATCCCAGGGGTCTTTTTGACATCTTTATCCCCCAGAGAATTGCTACCCTCAGTTAGGGTGCTAATAATAGGATAAATACTCCAGCTCTTTTGCTCTCCATACTCTAACCCCTGTAGGACCAGACTATCACATCCTGCCTCAGACCTGGTAAGTTTGTCTGTTTGGTCTTCTCAGTGTGCCCTTTATATGGCTGAACAAAGATATGACTGCCACTAAGATAATGTTTTTACTGAAGTGATCTCTACTTCATATTAAAAGGACTTACAAACGGATCACACTTTTGACCACTGTTTTGTGGCCATGTAATTTAATTGCCTCTTCAGACAACTGTCTCCCCTAGTAATCACCACAGCAGCCTATGAAGTAGGAATCAAGCTCTCCAGATCACACAGATAGGGAAACAGTTTGAGAGAGTTTAGGTGACTTGACTGAGATCACGCAGCTGGTGAGCTGTAAAGCTGGGATTTGAATATGGCTGCCCTTGGGCATCCATACATGAGTGCTAAATTCTAGGTTGGTCACTTCCAGATGCTCATGAGCACCTCCACGATAAAGAACTTGCTCCTTTCCTCAAGAGACGGCCTTATTCCTGGCGTTTGAACTTCTATTCTTATGTATTTTAGGTAAGGCCTTTCTTTATACCAAGTGCTAAAATAATTCAGAACAAGGCATAAAGGAGCATTATTATTCTGTAGAGCTATCTGGAGGAGGCAGGGAGTCTCTCCTTGCCTGATCTCAGTAGGCAGGTGAGTCAGAGGAAAATAACACTAGAGTATAGGCAGAAAAGGTTCACAGGCAGAGAGTAGAAAGCTTTGAGTCTCTAGCCATTCACTGTGGAGAGGGCTCTGCAGCCATGCCACGCCACCCACTCCCCGCCTAGACATCACTGAACCAGACTAAAGTGGCAAAGGCTCCTTTGAACACAGTGATGATAACCCATCTTCTGCCTTGCATACGTTCCCAGTGCTGTAAAATCTCATCCTGAGTTTTTCATGAGGTCTAACTCAAATATTAGGAGAGTCAAGAAGTGAGGACCCCAGGGCTCTCGCCTCAACCTTGACCACTTTCCTAAAATCCAGGAATATGATGTTCAACATATGCTCTTCAAGCTTCACTTTCCCCCTCTGTGCAAAGGGAGTGAGACAAGGGGGACTTGTGGTCGTTATGCTGTGTAGTTCCAGATCAAGAGTGGAGCAAAAGTTTTTTGAATAACAGTTCAAGGGCTGAGAAAACCTGATTCAATTATTAAAAGGCTGAGATGGAAGAAGAAAAGGAGGGAGGGAAAGAAAGTAGAGCTGTCTCATTCATGACTGGATTATTTGGCTCTCAGTTTTCTCCACAAAGGGTACTGAAGCACAGACACTCCAAAAACAATGTCTTACATAAATGTATGTCCCTGTGTCTTCTGAGTACAGCCTTGCTCATGCATTTTGCACAATAACATATATAAACACAATCACATGCCCAGCCAAACACTGTGTTCTCACTCATCAAATGGAACAGTTTTACATGCATCATTTCACAAGGTCCTTCACACTCTGAATTCTCTATCCCAGACCTTTCAGCTACCATGAAGGCCAAAATCTCTTCTAGGGTTGCTTGGGCCCAGGCTGGATGGTGGAAATTCAGGGAGATATTATAGAACAGAAAAACAGGAAATGTGTGAAGGGATGATGAGACAGAAAAGAACAAGGTGACTTGCTCAATATGAGAGTGACAGCCACAGTTAACACTGAGATGGAAAGGAGGCATCCTGGACCACAGTTCCTTCCAGCAAATCACATTAGAAGACCTTACCCTTTTTCTTCCTGCTCCTGCCTCTTCCCCCAAAGCAGTTTCCTAAGATCTCTGGATATGGGTAGCTGATGCCAGGGAAGGCAAGGAGCATTGCATTCTAAAATTAGGAATACAGATGAGCATCACTACAGAGTACAACTGGTTCCATTATCTCTGTTTAAATTAACAATTCAAACATAGTCACACACAATTATATTAAAAGCTCTTTTCAGTAGAGATATTTTTCTCCCTACTCTCTCCTCTCTTCTGTGTCTATTTCTGGCTCTTGTTTCTACCAGCATCCGTATAGGACACCTGAGGCAGGTGCAGGATCTTTGTGCTTGGCCAGAAGCCAGGTAATCTTACACCTGTATCAGGCTACCAGACACTCAGCCTCTCACCTCTGTTTTACTGTTCCTGGTCAGACTAGGTTCTGAGCCTCATCAATGGGTTATTTTAGGCTCAGTGGCTTGAAAAACCAGTCCAAGATCTCTCCTCCTTCCTATCAATTCCCTTCAGACCTGATCTTTCCATCTTGAAAAGTAACCACATTGGAGTCTTCCATCCAATCTGCCTGAACTCTTATCATTAACATTACTTTTATATTGTCACACAGGCAGATGCATCAGAAGAAAAAAATATTAGAGTTCAGGCAAAAGAGGACTCACAGGTAGAGAAGAAAGCTGTAAACGTCTCTAGCCATAGCCTGTCACCATAGAGAAGGTTCTACAGCCATGCCACTTGCCCACAGCCTGCAGCCTGGACATCATTGAATCAGACAGAAGTGTGAAGGGCTCCTTTTCAACCTAGGAGATAGTAACCCACCTCCTGCCTTGCATAATTTCCCAGTGCCCTACTATCTTCCCATCCTGGATGCTTTTCATGAAGTCTAATGCAAATATTTCCTGCTATTGTTCAGCCATAGCATAAGGATGAATCCTAGCTGCTTCATCTCTCAGGGATTCCTAGGGCTCAGAGCAAAGCAGTGAGGTCTTCTCTACCCACCTTAGCCATGAAACTCACAAACCACAGCCATCAGAACCCAACCTCCTTTCTGCTTATGGGAATTCCAGGTCTGGAGGCATCCCACTTTTGGATTGCTTTTCCCTTCTGCTCCATGTATGCCCTGGCAGTGCTGGGCAACATGGTGGTGCTGCTAGTGGTACGTTCAGAGCCTATATTGCACCAGCCCATGTACCTGTTCCTATGCATGCTGTCTACCATTGACCTCGTCCTCTGCACCTCCACTGTACCCAAGCTTCTTGCACTTTTTTGGGCAAAGGATGCTGAGATCACCTTTGGAGCCTGTGCAGCCCAGATGTTCTTTATCCATGGCTTCTCAGCTGTAGAATCTGGTATCCTACTAGCAATGGCCTTTGACCGCTACTTAGCCATCTGCCGGCCTCTGCACTATGGGTCATTGCTCTCCCTAGAGTCTGTAGGCAAGCTGGGGGCTGCAGCCGTGCTTCGTGGCTTGGGACTTATGACCCCACTCACCTGCTTACTGGCAAGACTGAGCTACTGCAGTCGAGTGGTGGCCCACTCCTACTGTGAGCACATGGCTGTGGTGAAGCTGGCTTGTGGGGGAACACAGCCAAACAACATCTATGGCATCATAGCTGCCACACTGGTGGTGGGCACTGACTCCATCTGTATTGCTGTCTCCTATGCACTCATCCTCCGGGCTGTGTTAGGCCTCTCCTCCAAGGAGGCAAGAGCTAAGAGCTTTGGCACTTGCGGCTCCCAGCTGGGTGTCATCCTTGTCTTCTACACGCCAGGACTCTTCTCCTTCTACACACAGCGGTTTGGCCAGCACGTGCCCCAACACATCCACATCCTCCTGGCTGACCTCTACCTGGTTGTGCCACCCATGCTCAACCCCATCATCTACGGCATGAAGACCAAGCAGATACAGGATGGGGCCCTCCGGCTGCTGAAGTGGGGCCCTGCTCAGTCATAATCTTCAACCCCAACCTGAAACCTTATCTTCTCCCCTCAACCTTTGGGCAATGTTTGAGACTGGTGGCTCCCAACATGATAGGGACACAGAAACCTACAGTCAATGGTACCTGTATTTTGACAAGGAGCAACAGCAAAGTCAGATGGTGGAAGATCTGTCAGGTGCTTCTTTCTTACAAAGTAGATATGGTTACAAAACTCAGGGAACCCCTGTCTAGTGGGAAATGTGGCTACCAAACTGATGATGGCTTCCCAGGGAATCTAATTCTGCTATGTGACATTGTTCCTATCTTCCAGAAGATCTTGTAAAATGGGAAATATATACCTACTGGTCTGACAAGGAGAAATAACCCTCATCCACAGGCAGGTGTTTGTTCTCTGATAGGAATGCCTACATACCTTCCTCGGCAGGCTCTACATCTGACTGGGGAGAAATGCACACACACACCCATGCATAGAATCAGGCAGAGAGGCAGAGACAGGGCACTTAGCAATTAGCCATAGGGATGATAACAAAAGGAGAATCCTGGGCAAACTGTCCAGTGTTCACAAGAAATAAGTAACAAGGTATAATGTCAATCTAGGAAGGTTCTCTGAAAGAGTTTTTATCTTTTCACTGAGCATGCACTTTGGGCCAAATATATTGCTAAAATCTAGGGCAAATTAGGTCAAGGGGCCTACTCTCATGATGACTGCTCACTGGTAGAGGGAAAACACACAAGGAAACAGCGGCCAAACTGAATCATGCTATTTCAGTTGTCCCTCAGTATATGGAGGATTGGTTCCAGGAACCCCATATAAACCAAAATCCATGCAAATTCCAAGTGGGCCCTAAGAACAGAAATATGCAAAAGGTTGGCTCTCCTTATGTGCAGTTGTTATATCCTGCAATTCCTGTATTTTTTATCTGTTTGGTTAAAAACAATCTGCATATAAGTGGACCTGCATATTTCAAACCCATGTCGTTCAAAGGTCAAACTGTAAAGAACAGAGGCCATGGGTGTAAGAACACCAACTTCCTCAGAAGAAATGAGCCCCCAGGCCACACTCCATCTCTGAATGCAGGTAAGACCAAGCCTGGGTGTAAGGTGCAGGAGCAAAGCCTAAGGCAAGATGCCATCTTAAGTCTTTCCTTCTAAGCCCTGGGAGTGGCCTTGTGCAGCTTCCCTCAAGCATCAAATGTCCAGGGAAGGAACCAGGTCCCTAATTTGGGGAGAAAATAGGGAACTCTCTCCAATTTGACCTCCTGAGGCAGGTTTATAAAAATGAAAATGATAAAATGATGGCAGCCACTAGAGAGCTATTTGTCTCCTGGGTAAAGTATTTTAATAAGCTTGGAAAGAGCTTAAACAGGAGAAGGCCTCTAATGGGTTCACGATGCCCTGGGTCCCCAGAACTGCAGCCAGTAGCACAGTGAATTAGTTTAACACTCTGCAGTGCACCAACAGGATACACATTTACTGTAGTCTCATAACCATCTGGTGAAATAATTATCCCCAATTTACAAAGCCAGAGGCAGAAGATTAGGAAGACAGTTGCTTGCCCCAAAAAGCAAGTAAATTTCTAATTCTAAATTTCATGACTTTTATTCTTTATCAGGCAAGTTACTATAAATCTAGACCCTAGGACAAAGAATCTAGTAAGTCTGATCCAAGGGAGAGAGGATAATTTTTCTTCTAACATCAATGAATTTCTGGAACATGTAATATGCCAAACACTATTGTAGGTGTTGGACATATAATGGTGATTCAGGAAGATACATTTTTGATGGCAACTTGAATACGGGACCCAGCAAAACTCTCCCATGTACTCTCAGTGACTCATATTACTTAACCTGAAACCATCCAAATAATTCTTCCTTCACCCCAGGTTTCAGCACACATGAGTTTGGTAGTCTTAATTTGCCCACAGACATCCCAGGTTGTCAGAAAATCATAGGCTACAGATTAGCCAGTAAATTCTATTCTCCAGGATCCTTAAACTGTAGGGGAAATCAAGAAAACTTGCTACATCCCATTTGGGACTATATTAGCTATGGCTGGATTATTTTTCCCAAAGCTCTTTTTTTAAATGAGGTATATCTTACATAAAATACATCTTCAACAAATACATGCACATCAGTATAAACACCATCTCAGTCAAGATGCAAACTATCAACTGGGCATGGTGGCTCATGCCTACCGTGAGAGACTCAGGCAGACAGATTGCTCGAGCCCCCCAGTTCGAGATCAGCCTGGACAATATAGCAAGCCCTGATCTACAAAAAGTACAAAAATTAGCCTGTAGTCCCAGCTACTCAGGAGGCTGAGAAGTGGGAGGATCTCTTGTGCCTGGCTGGATTGAGGCTGCAGTGAACTGTGATTGTACCACTACTCTGTAGCCTGGGTGACAGTGAGATCTTATCTCAAAAAAAAGAAAACAAAATTCACAATCACAAAATGTTCCCTTGTGCTCCTTCCCAGCAATATCCTCACTACTCCATGAAGATAACCATTGTTCTACTGTTTAATTTTTGATCACCTTGGATTAAATTTCATTTACTGTTCTATAAATGTACATAAATTATACAATATGTATGCTTTGACTTCTTTGACTCAACCTAATGTTTTTGAGATTCGTGTTGTGTGCATCAATTGTTAATTTCTTATTGCTAAGTAATTTTTCATTGTATGAACATATCAAAGTTTATTTTTGGACACCCGAGTTTCTCATATTTTACTATTATGAATAAAACTGCTATGAATATTTATTTCTTAACCTACCAGTGAAATGGCTGGGTCAGAGACTAAGTATATGTTTAATAGAACCTGCTTTTCCAGAGGAATTACACTATTTTTTAATCTCACCAGTGATGTATAACAGTTCCCAGTTGTTCCACATCCTGGTCAGTCCTTGATATTGTCATTCTTTTTTTCATTTTAGCCAGTCTATTAGCTAAAAGTAAATTAGTAACTTTAATTTGCACTTCTCTAGTGATATTGAGCAACTTCTCATGTACTTTCTATTCATGCATATGCCTTCTGTAGAATGTTAAAGTCTTTTGCCCCCTTTTAATATTTTTTTTATTTTGTCATTGATTTATACTAGTTGTTTATATATTCTGGATACAAGTCATTTGCCAAATAGATATACATAGTGAAAATATTATCCAACTTTGTGACTTGCCTTTTGATTTTTTTTTTGATACATGGTCTCACTCTGTTACCCAGGTGGGAGTACAGTGGTGTGACCTCAGCTCACTTACAACCTCAACCTCCCAGGCTTCAAGTAATCCTCCCACCTCAGCTTCCCAAGTAGCTGGGACTACAGGTACGAGCTACAACACCCAGCTAGTTTTTCTTTTCTTTGTGGAGATGGGGTTTCACCATGTTGCCCAGGCTGGTCTCAAAATCCTGGGATCAAGTGCTCCAACCACCTCAGCCTCCCAAGTACTGGGATTGCAGGCGTGAGCCACACCACCTGACCTTCATTTTTTTACTAGTATCTTTCAATTACAAGAAATGTTTAGTTATGATGAAGTCCAAATAATAACTAGTGCTTTGTTTATAGATTTTGCTTTTAATTTTAGGCCTATGATCCAACATGAATAAAAACTCCATATGTTATAATCTAGAGTTCTTTATTTTTCACATGAATATTCCATTGTTTCAGCATTATTAGATTTTCTTTTCCAAATTGACTTGCCTTGGCAACTGGATCAAGAAAGTGAACAAGAAAGTGTCAGTACTATACTTTCTTAATAATAGTATTATAGTAAGTCTCAAAATGAAGTAGTCTAAGTCTTCTAACACTATATACTTCCACAGTCGTTCTTATTATTTTAAACGTACATATTAAAATCATATATTTTAAAATCAATTTTTTCATTTCTACAAAAATCATTGCTAGAGTTTTGATTGTATTCAATTTTTTAATTGTATTGTACTGGCTAGGACCTCCAACACATTGTTGAATAAAACTAGTAAACCAGACATCTTTGCCTCGTTTCTGATCTTTTTCTTCTGTTAACACCTTCACTGAGATGATTCAAATACTGTACAATTCACTCATTTATAGTGAATGGTTGCAGTCTAGTTTCTAGTATATCCATAGACACATGCCACCATCACCATAGTCAATTTTGGAACATTTTCCTCACCGCGAAACCAAACCTCATACTGTATAGTTATCACCCTCATATTCTCCTGCCCCTGCCAGCCCAAAGCAACCACCAGTTGGCTTTCTCTTGCCTCTCTAGATTTCCCTATTCCAGACTTTCATATGAATGAAAACATATGGGACTTTGGGACTGACTTCTTGTACTTAGCATAATGCTTTGTAGATTCATCCATGTTGTAGCACGTATCAGTATGTCATTTCATTTTCTGGCTGAATAATATTCCATTGTATGAATATATGCCACATTGTGTTGATCCATTAGTCAGTTGACGGCTATTTAGGTTGTTTCTCCGTTTTGGCTGTTACAGATACTGTGACTATAACAGTGTACAACTGTCTGTGTCAGCACATGTTTTCATTTCTCTTGGGAATATACCTAGAAGTAGAGTTTACTGGTCATGTGATAACTGTTTAACCATTTGAGGAACTGCCAAAGTTTTTCTAGAGCAGCTGCATCATTATATATTTCTCCTACCAGCAATGTATGAGAGTTTCAATACGTTCACATCCTAACTAATGCCACCTATGGTCTCTCCTTCTTATATTAACAGCTTTATTGAGGTATAATTGATATGCAAAAAACTGTACCTATTTTGTGTAGAGTTTGAGTTTGGACATATGCATACATCCATGGGCTTGCTTCTGACTTTAGAAGAGTGGTATTATCTTTCATCATGAAACATGTTGACTACACACTTCTCACAGATGCTATGTTGAAAAGTACACATCTATTGAAATTTGATGCAAGTTTTCATCAAGAATGGTGTTGAATGTGGTAAATTATTTTTCTTCACATACTTAGGTAATCATCTGATTTTTCTGCTTTATACTGCTGATGCAGTATACTATATTCCATTTTAATTTTATTATTTTTTGAGATGTAGTCTCACTCTGCTGCCCAGGCTGGAATGCAGTGGTGTGATCTCGGCTCACTGCAACTTTCACCTCGTGGGTTCAAGCAATTCTCCTGCCTCAGCTTCCTAAGTAGCTGGAACTACAGGCTTGCACCACCACACCTGGCTAATTTTTGAATTTTTAGT